AGACCTTGATAAGCATTGCCAAGGTTACCATAGGCACGTCCTTCTCCTGCCCTGTCACCCACTTCTTTAGTAATGGTGAGACGTTGCTTGTTGTACTTTATGGCTTGTTTAAAATCGCCGATACTGCAATAAGCATTGCCAAGGGTACCATAGGCCCCTCCTTCTCCTGCCCTGTCACCCACTTCTTTAGCTGCGGTGAGTTGTTGCTCGTGGTACTTTATGGCTTGTTTAAAATCTTCGAGACCTTGATAAGCATTGCCAAGGTTGGCAAAGGCACCTTCTTCTCCTGCCCTGTCGTTCACATCTCTAGCAATGGTGAGATATTGCTCGTAGTGCTCTATGGCTTGTTTAAAATCGCCAAGACTGTCACATGTATTAGCAAGATTGCAATAGGCGCATGCTTTTCCTGCACGGTTACTCCTTTCTTTAGCAATGCTGAGATCTTGTTCGTGGTAGTTTATGGCTTGTTTAAAATCACCATTTCCTTTATAAGCGTTTCCACTGTTGGCATAGGCACGTCCTTCTTTTGCACGGTTACCAATTCCTTCAGCAATGCTGAGATCTTGCTCGTGGTAACTTATGGCTATTTTAAAATCAGTGACTCCTTGATAAGCATTTCCAAGGTTGGCATAGGCACGTCGTTCTTCTCCCCTATCACCCACATCTTCAGTAATGGTGAGACGTTGTTGGAGGTGATTGTTTACTTGCTTAAAATACTCGAGACGGTGATAATTCCTGCCACGAGTACCACAGGTATCTTTTTCTCTTGCCTCGTAGCTGAATTTGTTGGCAATGGGAAGATGTCGTATGTTTTTTGCGACAGCTTGTTTGCAATTACCCTGGCTTTTACAAGCGCTTTCAAGTTTACCGTCGGTTCGTGTTTCTTGCTGCTGATGCTCTAAAACTTTTGATCCCCGTTGTTCCATTTCTGCGTGTATGGCAGTGGAAATTGTTTATTGTCTAAGAGGTTTTATTATAGACATAGATCACCATACTATTTCCGAAAGTAGTACAGCCTAACAGCCTAGTAATGCTAAAACTTAGCAATCTAACATACTTAGAGCTTAAAGCCCTTAAGCCCTGCAGCCCGTATACGTTTTCAACCGAAAAAGCTGTAACGGTCACAAGTTTATAGTCTTTCTAGTACTTCTAACGCATAACTTTCCTTAACTGTCCAAAGTGCATGGTTTGAAATGTCACATGTACGAGCTAAGCGCTGGTATTGGATTTCAGTGAGCTTAGCTAGTGTCACCAACGCTCTCCTCTTAAATGCTGGGAAATGTCTTTCTGTCTAACATGACGATGTACATCTGATCGAGAGGAACGGAAATATTCATGTCAAACAAGGTTGCTGAATGCTTAGACTGCTAGAGACCGATAAATGACCCTGTTATAGAAGTTCGTTTCTACTAATGCATCATCTAGACAACAGTCATCCAAGTCTATGCTCCAACAAATGACGCAGATGAAGAGGCGAAAAACGCCTTCTATGATCAGTTAAAAAGCTTGTGAATGGAGTACCAAGACATGACATGCTCCTGGTCGTAGATGACTGGAATGCAAAAGTGGGTGAACAACAGGTTGCTGAGGAAAGCTCTGTGGGTAAATTTGGTTTGGCGGGAGAGAGAGAAGTGACAATGAGGAACGCTTTGCCTCCTGCGCACTAAACAATCTCATCATTGTATCGACTATATTCCCACACAAGGAGACGCACAAATACACGTGGTCTACACCAAATGGCCAACATGATGACCAGATTAATCATGTGGCTGTTATAGCCAATTTTAGGCGATCACTGCAAAATGTTAGACGTATGGAGGTGTGGACTGCGCAATTGACCATAACATGTTGATCGCTAAGCCACTGCTTAAGCCCAACGGAACGGGCAGGAGAGTGGTACAAGTCAGAAGATACGAGACCAGTAAGTTGAACATGCCTTAAATTTGGAAGCAATTTCATTTGGAATTAAAGAACAAGTTCAGCTGCCCGTCACTGGAGGACGACGACCAGGGAAACAGGTACGAAAATGAGAGTGAAGTAGCGCACGACAACGAAGTAGAAGAACAGAGACAAAGATCAGACAAACCCATTGTGACACTGCTAGAGATATGCTAGGCTACAGAACAAGGAAAAGCAGAGCTGGATCAGACCAGAAGGCTGGAACAGATTTGAGGAAAGGAGGGGGATAAAGAAAAGTTAATTGGTGTAAGGTCGGCAAGACTTAGGACGAGGTCGCAGGAGGAATACAGGAACAAAGATTTCGAAGTGAAGAGAAGTATACAAAAGGATATGAAAGAATGGCCAATGACATAGCCAACAAGCAGAGGATGCTGCAAAGCGCGGGCAAATAGAACGCGTATACGAAGCTACAAGGAGGGTGTGCATCGAGCCATCTACGACAATTGACGTGGTAAGGAACAAGGCCGGGAAGTTGTTGAAAAACGAAGAAAAGATACCTTAGAGGTGGAAAGAACACTTCGAAAAAGTGCTGTAAAGACTCAACCTAGAGCATGTTGCCGATGTGGTTATTACTATACAGGTGATAGAAGAGATACCTTCAGGCCCTATAACTATGGTGGAGGGCATAACAGTAGAGCTGCTCAAGGCTGACATGATAACATTAGTCGACATACTACACGATCGTTTTTGCCAGGTGCGGATCAGTCGGGATGTTCATGCAGATGGAACGAAGGGTATTATAATCAGTCTCGCCAAAAAAGGAGATCTCACTAAGTGTAAAAAAACGAGAGGGGGATCACCTTGATGTCTGTTGTTGCGAATGTGTTGGGCAAGGTGTTGGTCAGAAGAATATTAGATGGTGTTAATGTAAAGTTAAGGAAGGAGCAAGCTGGATTTATGCAAGGAAGAAGCAGGAAAGAGCAGATCTTCGTCCTTAGAAACATTGTAGAGCAAGCAATTCAATTGAATTCCAGCTAGTGTGTTTGTTTCCTTGACCATGCGAAGACCTTTCATGGTGCTCACAGGGAAACCTTGTTGATAATCATAGAGAGTTACGGGATTCCACCAAAACTTGTCGAAATGGTCAAGGCAATGTACGATGGTAACCAGTGTTCGGTATCCGAAAGCCCAGGTTTAACTGGCTGGTTCGATGTGAAGTCCGGCGTGAAGCAGGGATGCAACATGTCCAGGTTATTGTTCTTGTTTTGTGATCGAATGAATCATGAGAAGAAAAGCAGAGGGTGCTAACACTAGATGAAAGTTATGGTCCAAGTTAGAAGACTTGGATTTCGCTGACGATATATATATTGCGCTTACATCTGACACAAAAGCTCAAATCCAGAAGAATGTGTTGAATCTTAATATCAACAGTAAGGCAGCTGGGCTGAAGATAAACTCTGAGGAGACAAAACTCTTCAGATTGAACGAGATCAGCAATGAGAAGGTGTAACTTGACGAACAAGATATTGAAGACGTATAGAGTTTTGTGTTCTTGGGTTCATACGTCAGCAGGTCAGGCGGAACGGTAGAAGACATTCGAGCAAGGCTAGGAAAAGCACGGGTTGCGTATAAAAAGCTGGGAAAGATCTGAAAGTACAATCAGTTTAACAGCAAAACCAAGATCAAAATTTTTAATTCCAATATGTACTCCCGGTGCTGTTGTATGGATGTGAAACCTGGCGAATCACTAAGGCGGACGAGAACAAGCTGGATGTGTTCTTACGTAAGAGCCTTCGTCGGACACTAAAGATCTGCTGGCCAGAGCGCATAATAAACGAGGAGATTAGAATAAGAGCGGATATTGAGCCAATAAGGAAGCAGGTGGCAAGACTGAGATGGACGTGGCTTGGTCAAGTCCTTAGAATGGATAATTAATCGCTCTCACATGGTTACCAGCAGGCAGAAGGAATCGGATCGACCGCAAAAGACATGGAGGAGAACAGCTGGAAGGGAGCTTAAGGAGAAATGATTAAAATCTAGGGCAGAGGAGGCATCAGCTGCAGCGGATAGGATAGCCTGAAAGCAGAGAGGCGATAAGCTCAGTTCTCCACTCGGAGAACAGAACAATGATGATGATGATGTACTATCCAGGATGTAGTGAGATTGCAAGTCACCCTATAAGGCTTTATTGTGGTTGAAACTTTCTGTCTCAGTTGTAAATCTGCAAATGTGTCTTTCCTCAGAGGTTTGATCCCGCGAAATAAAAATCAACAACACCAACAGCAACAAAAAAAGTACAAAAGGAAGAGTGCTGAGCTGATCATGATACAGGGAGTCTTAAATCAAAAACAGATTATGTAAAACCGGGAATGAAAACATGCACGTTTTGCATTCCTTTGGCGAAGAATGTATTTTGTATTTGGCGCTTTAAAAATCCCATTTTATCTCGGCTCAGGCGGTAAGGAAACGTCCGCAAACCACAAATAAAAGTATCATAGAAGATATGAAACCACAATGGCCCCTGCTTTTACAACGAAATTGCTTTCAAGCGACTTTTCGTCGCCTTGTTTTTGCTTTGTGTCATACTTTTAGCTTTTATGAGTTGTAAATAATAAGGGGCGACAGATAGCAAAACAATAGCCGGTATTTATTCCATCAGTTTCTGGCTCATTGTTTCAAAATGACGAGGGAGTTGCAATATTTTAAATATCTACCCAAAGAGCCGTACGGTGGACTTTGGATCGAGCATGACCTTATCTGTGCGCCATTACAAAGAATAACTTAGCCATTGTTGAATTTTTTTGTCTTTCAATGAAGCCTGATGAACGTAATTGAACACTTTAACTGATTGAGATGCAACTTTGTAGAATTTGCGACGGACAAAGAGGTAGGAGTGATGTGACTATTTTTTTTCTGATACTTAGGTAGCTTTATTGGGCATGTATGTGCACAATTTCTGCACATGCACAATCATGGTTTCCTTACGGCTGTCCAAATTGACCAGACGACTGGGCATGAGGAATTAATACTGGGCTCCAAATACTGACATATTCAGAAATCAGATAGAGCTTGTCTTCACAAGAGCTCATGCAGAAACGGATCTAACTGCCGGACGGAACATGAGCCATATCAAAGGGTATGAGAAAGAGATACTGTGTTGACACACTGAGGAATCCAGAGAGCAGAGTAGAGTTGGTTTATAGAAGAGCCAAGAAACGGGTCTGTTTGCCTTCGGAAAGATGAGCCACACAATTCTGACGGCTCTTTGACCGCAACAACTTAGAATAAAGCTAAGACAACTTCAAAGAGGATTTTAATGAAACAGCAGAAAGGACGTTGAGTTACGGGAAGAGGAAAAGCGAAGCTAAAAAAAGTGAAAAACAAAGATCAGGATAAATAGCTATGAAAATGAAAGAGAGTAGGAAACTAAAGAAGAAGATCGAGATCAAACCATCTGCAGGACTGGGAAAGAAGTGCCATGACAAGACGAATATTAAGGAGAAGATACGTTTACCAAACCATCCCGGATAAAAGATTACAAATACTTCCTATGAAGTCAGATGTCCCAGAAACCTAGGTAATAGAAGAGGAAAAAAACTCGGTAACGGAAGATAAAAAAACTTGGAAACGGTGAAAAATTGAGGGAAGGCTGCCAAGAAACATGAATAAAAGACGATGAGATAAGAAAGATAAGCAGGGAACAGTTTTAAGAATTGGGATAAATGAAGTTGTCATCGGACAAGAAATACCAACCAGATTATGCCGGACCAGTAAAATCACAAAAGAGGAGATTAAATTGGAGGAGAATAGTGATGTAAAAAAAGGAAGAGTAGGAGAAATAGACTCCATTGCTGTGGAAATGCTTAAAGCAGATGTATTCAGAATCGCTACGGTACTAGTACACGGTACTAGTACACATGAGGTATCCCAAAACGTGTAGGATCAACAGAGAAAGCTGAGAGATTGCGCCATACAAAAAAGAGGTGAGATCATTAAATTACGTGCGATAGGTCACCTAACAGTAGGC